ATGCTGAGGAGCATTCGATTTTCCACGCGAAGCGAGGTCCACCCCCTCTAAGCGTTATTTCATAAACTACTTTTATTAATAATTTTTTAACAAGTAACAAACGACAATTAAAACTTATCAGAAATTACTCGGGGTTACGACCTTGATATGACAATATATGTTAAGGTCATCGGGGCGGGCTCCCCTATTCGATATATGCATTAAAATAACCTTCATTTGAAAATTTTATTCACATTTATAAAAATATATATCTGTTTCTTAGATTTTGATGCTTAATAATAAATTTTAAGGGAAATGTTGGAGTGGAAATTACGCAGGGCAGAACTCCTCGTAAGAAAGATTGACTGATTATCACTTGAACAAAATAGTTTATTGTTGTAACACAAAAGTAGCAGTCTTATACACTTGTGATCAATGCGTATCACATATATCGGAACGAACCAACGAACTAAACAAAAAGGGCTACTCTCTCAATACCCGAGCACGCGCCCAAAAGATACAAGCCAGCGACTCAAGCGACATACGCCGTGTATATCAACCAATTAAAGAGGAAATGGCGCTGTAAACATAAAGCTTAGTATTCAAGAAAAAGCGCTAGATTTAAACGTATATACGCAACACTCCCACTATTCGAGTGCTTTGTCATACTTAACTATACCAATCAACTTAATTAGGTTATGAAATTTATCTTTCGTAAGAGGTTTTGTCAGAAAATCTGCACATTGTTCTTCTGACTTTACATACTCTGGTATTATCATTAAACTTATCTCTAATATAGTGAAATCGAATATCCACATGTTTGGTTTTTTTGTGAAACTCTGGATTTTTAATCAGTCTAATGGTATTTTGACTATCAATATGCAAAGGGACAGGTCCCTCATGTGGGCGTGCGAGATCACTTAACAATTGTCAAATCCACACAAGTTCTTTCGCTGCTAAAGTGGCAGCAATGTACTCTGACTCAGTAGTACTCAAAGCAACTACGCTTTGTCTTTGTGAGGCCCACGAAATACAACCTCCAGCAATGGTAAAAATATATCCAGATGTCGAACGTCTCGATTCTATATCCGCGGCATAATCTGCGTCTGAATAAGCAGTTAAAGAAATTCCTTGTTCTGTTCTTTTATATAGTATTCCATGTTCTATTGTTCCTTGCAAATATCTGAATATTCTTTTCAAAGCTTTCCAATGCTCTGTTGAATAACAAACTGTAAAACGACTTAAAAAATTAACAACATACGAGATATCAGGTCGAGTTAATTGTGTAAGAAACATCAGACTGCCTATGGCTTCACGGTAAGGTATACTTATGTCAGTAACCGATTCATTCTTTGTCAAAGATAAGAGAGAGTGTGGATCAGCTGGAATACTTACAGGTTTAGAATCAGACATGTTAAAACGATTCAGTAGTTTTCTAATGTATGTGCTTTGATTAATAAAAATAGAGTGATTAATTCGATCTCTCACAATCTGGAATCCTACAAATGAACTTGTAAAAACGTTAGTAATTTCGAAATTTCCTTTTAGTACCTGAATCACTTCATATAAGGCCCTTTTTAATTTGGCTAGCAACAATCCGTCTATATAAAGCGCCAAGTATACGTTACAGCCGTCATAGTTTCCATTATACACACAGGAATCAGCTTTTCAAAGTGTAAAGTTAAATTGTCTGAGAAAATTGTCAAACTTGCTGTTCCACTGACGAGATGCTTGCTTCAGGCCATAAAGAGATTTTTGCAGCTGACAGACTTGTTCGGGCATGTTCTTAGTGACTCCTTCTGGAATCTCCATGTAAATCTCCTCACGCAAGTCTCCGTGCAGGAAAGCCGTTTTTATGTCAAATTGTTCAATTTCCAGATCTTGTTCCGCTGCGATACTTAGAAGAATTCGAATGGATTCGTGTCTTACTACTGGAGAGAAAATCTCTTCATAGTCTACACCACGCCTTTGCGTGAAACCTTTGGGACACAGACGAGCTTTGAAACGTGGTTTGTGATCTGACGATTCCTTGATTTTGAACACCCACTTATGGCCAATGGTGGCTTTCCCTTGAGGAAGATGTTCCAGCTTCCAAGTACCATTAATGCGATGAGCCTCCAGTTCTTCATCGATTGCCTTTTTCCATTCTTCACTGTATTGACCAGTCACAGCTTCATGATAGGTCTGGGGTTCCATGATTTCAGATAAGTGTGCTTCATATCTTGTCGGCTTCTTTATTTTATTCCTGTCTCGAAGCACAGGGCCCTTCTTTATGGAATTTAATGATTCCTCTTCCTGAGATGTGGAACAAGTTTCATATTCATCTGTTGAAACATTATCTGATGAAGTGTTCTGATTTGTTAAAGAAGATCCATCTTCAGTATAATTCTGAACGCTTTGATTATTTCTATCTTCAAGTGGAAAAGAAATTTCTTTTTCTTCGATCAAGGCAATTCTTGTGTCAACATCCTCATTGAAGACCACATGTCTTGATATTGAAATTTTTTCAGTCGATGAATCATAGAGTCTGTAATTCGATGATTCCTTGTCATATCCAACGAAAAGAAGTTTTTTGGACATTGCATCCCATTTTTTACGATGCTGCTTTGGGATGTGTGCAAAACATTCAGATCCAAAAGTTCTTAGATGAGATATATCAGGCTTTGTATTTGTCCAGACTTCAAACGGCGTTTTTCCTTGAAGCCGTCTAGAGGGTACTCGATTTAGGACATAGACAGCACAATTCACAGCTTCAGCCCATAGCCGAATTGGCAACTTTTTCGAATGTAACATTGCTCTTGCTGATTCGACTATGGCCCTGTTATCTCTTTCAGAACGGCCATTCTGTTGGAGCGTATCAGGAGCTGTTATTTCGATTTGAATTCCATGAACCTTAAGATATTGGTCCATCTTTTCGTTGATGTATTCAGTGCCATTATCAACCCTTAGTGTCTTGATTCGACGTTGAAATTTGTTGATGATCATTGCGTGAAAGTCCTTGAATTTATCAAACACGTCCGATTTGTGTTTTAAAAAATAAATGTGTCTAAAGTCGGAAGCGTCATCTTTGAAATTGACATAGTACCTCGAGCCTCCAATTGATGGTTCTTGCATTGGACCACCAACATCCGAATGTATGAACTCGCCTGGTTTCGTATTTCTAGGTGGGATAGCTTTACTGAAGGGTAATTTGTGTAGTTTTCCATACTGACAAGTTTCGCAAAAAATAGAGACATTTCTCTGAGACATTTTAATTGGAAGAACATCTTGTTTGTGAAGTTCACATAATGACTTGTACCCAATGTGTCCTAGTCTGGCGTGCCACAATGGAATGTTGGGAGTTGATGACAAGTTTGTGTGTGCTTCTTGAGTTGAGATTACCTTGAAAAGCATCTTGTAAAGATTGTTGTCCTGGATAACTCCTACTGCTCGAACGTCATTGTCAAGACTAATTTTCACATGGTCGGTAGTGAAGACCACTGTGTAATTCTTTCTAGTACACGCTCCTACAGAGAATAGATTTTTCTTCATGGTTGGCACGTAAAGAACGTTTTCAAGTCTGCCATCGTGCCAGGCACCATTGACAAATCTCTTGACCAGAATTACGCCCTTGCCTTTGATTTCATGCAAACCTTGATCTGCGAGAGAGACAAAATCATTACTTGTTTCTATGAAGTCATGAAACCAGTTCTTATTAAATGACATATGGCAGGAGGCGCCACTATCCAGAAACCATAGATTCTTACGGTCAAAATTGTCAAAATCAGAATCTACTAAAAAGGCACTTGTATTATGCTTTTTATCTTTGGACTCAGATTCATTGTCCTTGGCTTTCTGTAGTCTCTTGCGACAATACTTGATTGAATGTCCAATTTTATGACAGTAGTAGCATTCAGTAGAGGATTTGTGATCGCTCTTCCTTTTTTTATTTTCTTCACGCTGCACAGATGGCTTGGGTTTGCTGACTTTGATTGCTGCCAAGGCACTAGTTGTTTCATCTATCGTTGTCAAGCGACTTTCTTCTTTTAAAAGACGTGATCGTAGGTTGTCCAGCGATTGCCTTGTTGGATCTACGCTGTCCCAAGCGGTTATTAGAGCATTATACTTGGAGGGAAGACTTCCAAGTATTTTTGCCATAAGCGTAACATCAGAGACTGGCTCATCCACATGTCTCAGCTGACGTGCCATGTTTTCTACTGTGGCAAAATGTTTGGCGATTGAGTTGTTCTCTGACATTCTGTAATCATGAAAACGTGTCATTAGATGCAATTTATTTACCTCACTCTGTTGTTCATGTATCGAACAAAGCTTGGCCCACATTTCAGCTGAGGACTCGCATGTGATGAGATATTCGAGTTGTTCACTTTCCATGGAGGATGAAAGAATGAACATAGCCTTTGCATCCTTTTTGATCCAAATCTGCTTCTCAGCAGCTGCTTCAGGTTTCAGCATTTCTCCCTTGACTATTTGAAGAATGTCGTTTGCTGTTAAAATGGCCTTGATTTGAAACTTCCAGGATTGGAAGTTTGTGCCATTAAATTTGGAGATATTCCTGAGATCTATGCTTTCAGACATTTTGTGGTATTTATCTTGTTCACGTGCTTTTTAATACGATTGAGTGTGGCGTGATTACTGGGCCCATAACCTGTTGGAGTGGAAATTACGCAGGGCAGAACTCCTCGTAAGAAAGATTGACTGATTATCACTTGAACAAAATAGTTTATTGTTGTAACACAAAAGTAGCAGTCTTATACACTTGTGATCAATGCGTATCACATATATCGGAACGAACCAACGAACTAAAAAAAAGGGGCTACTCTCTCAATACCAGAGCACGCGCCCAAAAGATACAAGCCAGCGACTCAAGCGACATACGCCGTGTATATCAACCAACTAAAGAGGAAATGGCGCTGTAAACATAAAGCTTAGTATTCAAGAAAAAGCGCGAGATTTAAACGTATATACGCAACAGGAAACAAATTGGCATTGGATATTTAGATAAAGTCGCGGTTAGTACTTACCTTTGAAATGCAAAAGGAATTGAATGCATGCGCCATTATGTAGTATTCTGGTTTTTCTGCTGTCGATGGATAACATCCATTCAGGAATACCCATCACTTTTCTTACATCCTCTAAGAATTGTGCTCTGCGAAGAGAAGAAAATATCAGCAAATATCTATCTATTTTTTTACATTGATTTTTTCTTTGCAAAAGTAAATAATGCATGCCAAGTACATAAGGGATATTTAGAAGTATATGTGCATCATTAAATGACTAACTAATTGCTCAAAATATAAAATCTATCTAATTAGCCAAATATTATTGCTATAAATATAATTCAAAATGTAAGTAAAACGTTTCTTTAGATACTATTTTTAATAAATACATGGAATTTTACTTTATCTCTATGCGACTTTTACTTTGATTTTACGTAAATTTTGAGTAAAACGATCTTAAAATCAGATAGTCCAGGAAATGATGACACTAAAATGGTCATGATTTGTTACCGCTTGAAATCGTCATAATTCGTCATTTATTAGGTAAACATGCAGGAAACGCAAGTATGGCAAACCTCCCGCGGTTTTAAAATTGATAGCGTGTGATTGAAGTTGTCAAAAATTTGTTGCTTTTTTCCTAATAAGTTATCGGATGGCATGTGTTTCTAGTGATAGTTTACGTCAAAAAAACCAATCGGAAGGTAGGTGCCATACCGTTTCTGTGCATCGAAGGTGCCGTCAAATCAAGCTAAAGTTGTAAATTTTTTAGTGAAAAAAAAAGATTTGTTACCGGCTGTTTTTTTGTAGATTGTCTATTTTCACACGAAACATACAAAAATACACATGCCATACCGTTTGAGTGGACCTAAGGGGTCGCTATGCTCGTCCTAACATGTCGAATTTTAAACTAAAAGTTTTAGTCGGTAACAAATCATGACGTTTTAGCGACCCCTTAGGTCCACTCAAACGGTATGGCATGTGTATTTTTGTATGTTTCGTGTGAAAATAGACAATCTACAAAAAAACAGCCGGTAACAAATCTTTTTTTTTTTTCACTAAAAAATTTACAACTTTAGCTTGATTTGACGGCACCTTCGATGCACAGAAACGGTATGGCACCTACCTTCCGATTGGTTTTTTTGACGTAAACTATCACTAGAAACACATGCCATCCGGTAACTTATTAGGAAAAAAGCAACAAATTTTTGACAACTTCAGTCACACGCTATCAATTTTAAAACCGCGGGAGGTTTGCCATACTTGCGTTTCCTGCATGTTTACCTAATAAATGACGAATTATGACGATTTCAAGCGGTAACAAATCATGACCATTTTAGTGTCATCATATCCCGGACTAAGAACATTAACATTTGCCTGGCGCAGAGGCTACCGTGATCAGAAAGACGCTTCCTCCCGGGTGATGCTCTTTCATTGCACTACGGTTGAGCTGACCCTTGCGAATACTCCTAAAGTGGGTATCTTGGGCGTATAAGTTTTGGTAGTAAAATGCTGACTGGCATTTAATCATGTCAAATGATTATTATATATTTTCTATATATAAACAAGAGTAATATGCGAGTCATCGCTCTTTTAATGTTAGTGGTATTGTTACCGTATTGCTTAATACACACTATATCTTATATAGTATCGTAAATAATTGGTAAGTAGCACTTACACAACAAATCGCGGTGGTTTCCTAATATTTGCATATTTAACGATATTATTATCAGGCTCAATATTTGTACAGGCGAATTTGTTCCCACTAAAATCCTTATCAAAAATTATGATAGATTTGCCCATTGCGGATACCGGTCCATCCAAAGGAAAATTGAAATCTGTAAATATTTGTCGCTTTTCTCCAATATTAATAGGGCCTAGACGAGATGATATATCTCCAACATAACATCTAAGAGGTAAGTCTGGACCACATTCTTCTCTGTAAAGATCGTCCTAAAAAACGATAAAATATTTATATTAGTAGAAGCATTTTGATTGATACATCTTAATTAAGGTAAATGTAAAAATAACAAATCCACCTGTGATGACCTTGACGTTGACCTTTATTGTCAAGATCATAGTACTGAGCTTCAGAAGGTTTTAACTCGCGCTCGTTATTTATTCAAAAAGGTCATTTACAAATAAAGTTGATAATATAAATGTGTATTTAACCGTATAATTTAAATTTTAACTATCACAAATATTTTAATATAAACAATAATAAGATTGCAAATACGACCGTTTATGTAAGAAACAGTACTTTAAATACGAAGCGCCACTACGGTTTGAATGTTAAGATGTTGAACTCTATTATATATTAGAAGATACTAAGG